GATTTTCCATATCTAGAACATATCAGAGTGTAGACTTTTCAAGAGGATATTTTCCATATCTAGGACACATCAGATTGTAGGTTTGTCAAGACACGTTTTCCGTTATGATACTTAATAATTCATTCAAATAAAAATTAGGCGATTATTATTGAATATTTTAAGATAACTTTAAAGGTACTTAAATAAGAAATCAATAAATGGTGTAGAATGATGCATGTATGCATGTCAAGAGACAGAGATTTGATTTTCAATATCTAAAACACATGAGAGTACAGACTTGTCGATAGTAGATTTTCCCTATCTACAACACATAAGCGTGTTGGTTTGTCAGAGTAGATTTTCAATATCTAGGACATATCTACAGCAAGTGTAAGCTTGTCGGAGTTTGATTTTCCCTATCTACAACATGTAGGTTTCCATAATGCAAAGAGGAGACTTTTCATATACAGAACACATCAGAGTGTAGGCTTGTCGATGGTAAAACATACCTATGGCAAGATGAGACTTGCATATACAGAACACATCAGAGTGTAGGCTTGTCGATGGTAAAACATACCTATGGCAAGAGGAGCTTTTCTTTATCCACAAACAATCAGAAAGAAAATTTGTTGAGAGTAGATTTTTCATATATCTAGAACATATGAGAGTATAAGCTTACCGATGGTAGACTCACATAAGAGTATTTAAAGCTTGTTGGTATTTAGATAGGTTGTGCAGGTAGAATTAACCAAACATTTAATCATACCTGTTTATTTGGTCAAATATCAGGATTAAATTCACGCAATGGAGACAAGTTGAAGTCATGAAATGAAAATATATACATATGCAATGGGGATCAGTTTTATTCCATTCGTACTTTATATCAATAATGGAATTAAAGGATGCTGATCATGCCAATATTGAAAACACGTTGCTGCTAATACACACTATCATGGATGCAAATACTGTGTTTTGATTACAAATAAGGAGTCTGTTTTAAAGTCCTATGATATACATTTGAACACAAATGAGATATTTTTAATGCAGATAGTGCTTTTGAATGCTCATGATAGTCTTTGAATGCAAAAAAAAACAAAAAAACACCAAAACAAGCGAAAATATCGATATATTATGAATGCAAAAGTATAGATATTTCGAATTCATTTTATTTGAATGCAGATCGTTCTATTGCTATTGGTACTCTTTGCGTGCGAATGATGCCATAGATACAAAGCTATGTTTTCTTAAAAAACGATAAGTGTTTGAACGCTAATGATACATATTTTAAATGCAAATTTTATATAAGTCTGAATATAGACGATTCCTTCGTGAATGCAAATAAAACGTATTCAAATGCAAATGATACGCTTGTCAATATATTTTTCAACGGTTGACATGACAAAGTGGTAGGTTTGTTTTTGTATATGTTAAGATGAAATATCTCTAATGTGGTAGGACTCCTGGTGTCATGCTTCATACAGCTGATTCCGGAACATTTTTGTTTTAAATGCTTACCAATATGTAAATAATCATTGCAATGTATCTAATTAAAGATTAAAAAATGAGGCCACTAACCGGAGAGTAAAGATATTAAAAAACATTAACGGTTTCGAGTTTGGTTTCATTTAAAAATATATAACCTTTTTGCACCGTTATCAAGTTACGGTTTACAGATATGATAAATGATCAATGCTATCACAGTAACGACATTTTGAAAAAAAAAAAAATGTTCAAATGTTTGAAACCATCTGAGGCATGAATCGCTGATAACAGGTTATTGGTTTGACGCTCAAATGGTTTTTTGAACAGCAATGCTGAAAATATTGATTACTTTAGTTGAACAAGCATTTTTAACTTTGACAACTCGAATTGGCTTTTCAGTGATTTTCATTAGATGATCGAATTAAAGCCGTATCTTAAATAATAAAAAAAGATTAGCAGTATAATTGTATATTTTATGTCGGTGAGTTACACCATTTTATGTGTAAAACCTGCTCCTAACAATCCCATGATCCTTCTAATATTTAAACCAACGTCATAAAAATGGCACTGCCTTACTTATGGACAATCTACTGTTTCCTGTTGTATATGAGAGATGTTTTTATCTTTCATATCTCGTCTTTACTGGAAGAACGTTAAGTCAGATTACATGTATGTGGGCATTAGTTTATATAATCATACACATGTTGACGATATTCTGACATCTTCTTTACAAAGATAAATGAATGTGGAAAGTATCTGTAATGAATCTCTATGAATACAAATCCCCTGCTACGATGATTGGTCACGTGATCTATAACAGATGTAACGGAGGTCAATTCAATTCTGTTACTGGAGCTAGAACGATGATACCTAGTCATGGATGTCATTCATGAAATTACATTAAGACAACTGATTTGTATTTGTTTTTATGATAAATAATACATAAATGCAATACCGAATCGAAATAAAACATTTCGAAAAATAATTACAATAAATCAACGGCAATACGAAAACCAAAGCTTACCTCAGTGAATACCCAAGTTATGCATCCATACTTTAAATAAAAAAAACACAAAAAAACACGTATAAGCTTATTTTTTTGAAGATGTCGCTTATTGTATAATTTGTTGAACAACTCTATACTTGTACAACCATACTGTAATAATTGATACCAGATATATACGAACTCCCATCTACACACGTCTGACAAGTGGACTCGGTTGAAACATGCTTGACATAAGTAGACTCCGACCTAGACACGTCTGACAAGTGGACTCGGCTGAAACATGCTTGACATAAGTAGACTCCGACCCAGACACGTCTGACAAGTGGACTCGGCTGAAACATGCTTGACATAAGTAGATACTGACCTAGACACGTTTGATAAGTGGACTCGGCTGAAACATGCTTGACATAAGTAGACTCCGACCTAGACACGTTTGATAAGTGGACTCGGCTGAAACACAATTGACATAAGAAGACTCCGACCTAGACACATCCGACAAGTGGACTCGGCTGAAACATGCTTGACATGAGTAGATACTGACCTAGACACGTCTGACAGGTGGACTCGGCTGAAACACACTTGACATAAGTAGATACTGACCTAGACACGTCTGAAAGGTGAACTCGGCTGAAACACACTAGACATAAGTAGATACTGTCCTAGACACGGCAGACAAGTGGACTCGGCTTAAACACACTTGACATAAATAGATACTGACCTAGACCCGTCTGACAGGTGGACTCTGCTGAAACACACTTGACATAAGTATATACTGACCTAGACACGTGTGACAAGTGGACTCGGCTTAAACATGCTTGACATAAGTAGATACTGACCTAGACACGTTTGATAGGTGGACGGTTGCTAATGGAAATACTATCAAAAAGCGAGAGTCAGTTAGAAGGAACTTGTAGTCTCTTCGATGTTTCCTAAGCATAAGACATGGGAGACAACTAAGACACGGGAGACAACTAAGACATGGGAGACAACTAAGACATGGGAGACAACCTCCAATTGTACAGGAGGTATCACATAACTCACCTGTCACGGTCATACTGCGGAAAACACAATGTAGCATTTTAATTCATTTCTCAAACCTGCACAAATTAAAACCGAAATAGATCTTATTTCAAAAGGATTAAGACGATATCTGGTGTGTATTACTTTACAAATGTACATACTGTGTGATAGTTACACGAATCGCCTGTCATTCATATATGTAAAGAATATATTGCGAAAGTTTGGGGTACAGCTTAAACAAATATCACAAATACTGGATTTAGTTTTGTAATAATAAACATTTCTCACGGAAAATGTTTTAAAATGCAAAACAAAGAAATCCTTTTAAATTTCCGGCTTGGAAGATTTACTCTAATTTTTCCGGGCTTTTGATTTTATAAATGCACGCTCATCAATACAAATTTTGCATTATAGAAATATTGCTAGACATGAATATTGGTATTAAATGATAGTGTTGCGGTTTATATATTATTGGTCGTTATTAAGTTAATATTATGTATAACAAAATATTATTGACAAATAATTAGGGATCTATTGAATTATTTGTCTAGGGAGAATCATCAAATGATATCGTATAAAGTTTCCCTTATTAGATATCTGATATAGATAAGATTTATATTTTATGAAATATCTTATATAGGATATTTTATAAAGAGATTTATCAAAAAGATATAAGATATTTTTTTAAAGAATGGATATTATATCTTTTCTTTTTTGTGTACCATATAATATGTAAGATATTGGTATAATATATAAATTATTTGATACAATCTTATCTGACACAGGTGTGACCTTGCTTCTTGAATTAACGTTACGCACGCTTGACATCAAAGGCAAAAGAAACAAACATAGTACAAAGTTGTGAATTATGATTATTTGCCTTCAATCTGATGCCATCGTGTTGACTGTATGGTGAACGGAAACATAAGCAGGTGAAGTAACTAGGTGATTATTGCATAGAATAGTATAACATCAATAAGCGCTCTGTAAGATCATCGGTTCATGGTTGATATGATGATATTGTAGGACAACGCGGAAACTGTGCCTACTAACTTACTGAGTTCTGTTTAATCCTTTCTAGGATAAATCGAATATCTGATTTATCAGAATTAAACGCGATAAAAGCTAACTAACCTAACGAGGCCCAGGTAACTATATGACTAAGTAATGTGAGGAATTATGTGTTTCCTGTGGTGTTACACCGTTTATAGCGCGGTAAAACGTCTGCCGGGCACGTGTGGATGGGCCCGTCATAACTGATAAGGGATCATAACTGTGATCGAGAGGAGAAGTGTGCCAAACGCTCGTAAATCCAACAATGAACGGTATGCAGCATCATGTGCAGAATTCTAACCACTGATGATAAAGGTGCAGCTACAAGATATTATTCAATTTGCATGTTAGCCTACCACTTTGATTTTCTAGAAAGTCATACCGTGTGTACCTGGTGACCCCTGGACGTCGCGCGCTGCCTCTCTATGAGCCCGGCTGTACTGTGTATATAAGCGGCTGCTAAGAGTAGCACAACCAGCTGATCAGCACGGGATCTACCGACCAACGTCTGCTAGTACCTAACCGAGGCACATGCACGTGCTTCTGTGACAGCAACTCTTAGCAGACGACATACATTCTAATTATTATTATTTTTAAATTGTCTAGAAATCAGAGATTGTTGAATAAGGCATCGAAAAGGTACTTTTGGCAAGGTTTGAATAGGCGATACTTTCAGCAGTTTTGGAAGTTTTCGGTGCTATTTGACGTTGACACCTGACTTTCAATTGTGTCAATATGGGGGACTTAAGCGTCTTTGTAGGAGAATGGGAGGAACTTAAAAAGGACGGATTCGATGAGATGGCCAGCGCTTTAGGTAAGTTATTTAATCATTGATAAATTATTCCGGTTATTATTGATTGTTACTTTGTAAATGGAAAAGGTTTGACAACTATATCCGATTGATTTATTACCATTACATCAACGAAACCAGTATGGTAAATAATCAACCGTATTTTCTATTTACTATATTTGCTTACGTTGTGTTAAATGTATCTTATGAACATTGTCAGTAGGCTGTTAATTTGTAAATGGACATACGGATGGGCTCATGAAACAGCGCCCTAGAATGATCAAGCAAATCGTATTCTCTATTGCTATATACACATAATTCATGGTTAAAAACAATGTTACATACTCTTTTGTTGTTAACCGAGGATTATTTGTCCTATAAAACATTCATACAATGCATGTATAAAGTAGCCAATGGATATTGGAAATACTATTATCCTATCCATCAGCTGATGAGTTTATAGCAGGAACATTACCTGCATTCCTCAAACTAATTGAATGATTCACTTATCTTGAAGCTACTCAACTGTTGGTTTATGACGTTACTCAGAATGGTTTGTTAGTTAAAATAAAGAATCTGCCCAACCCTGATCGTTGTTGATCTATTGCGGAGACGAGAATATGAAAGTCATGCACCTTCAAAGGGGATAACGAAATGGGCAACTGCTATGTGCAACACAATGAATTGTTTACTAAATGGCAAATACGACATGTCATTAGCAAGGAGAGCTCTACCTTCCAATGGTCATGCGAACGAAATCAAATATTCACTTTGATGATTGACATCACCCTGTTCATTTTTTATAAAAGAAAGAAGATTGTCTGCTTCGTGCCAGGAATAAATCTGATATAATCATGTGATCAAACGGAAGGCAATAGTATTGTCCTAACGACAATGTCTTTAAGATTTAATTCTCGATACTATGAACCAAATGCGGAAGGTGAGGTTGGTTGTTAATTGTGCTTTATCTTAACGAAGTATCGCGGAAGCAGATAAAGGCGAAAACTGTACAAGTCTTGCTTCTAACACAAAATGGTGCAAAGATATGTGATTTTTAATGCCAATAATGTAAGAAAGCAATTATAATTAGTAGGAAAGGTAAGAAACGAAGACAGCAACGCTAAGTCAGTTCGAAAGGTTATAAACTCAAGAAGTTACCATAATAAGAAAAACATGCATGATATACCGATCAGATAGGACACCACACCCGAGAGCAGGACAAGACGAAGGTTAAGTATAGTTTGACCATTCCAAAATATAAAGCAAAAGCCATCTGTTAAAAAGAACAGAAGAAAAAAGGTTGGAAACATGGTAAAAAAGGAACCAAGCAAGGAAATCAACTAAGCCAAAATAGAGAATGAGAGCAACTTCTGCCTAATAAAATACTGCAAACGATTGAGTCCGTGTTACAAACACCATGGAAAGTATTGTGAACATTTCACGCTCGTCACTTCCACGAAAATTGTTGGCAATGTCTTGCTTAAGAAACTTTTTAATTATTTGAAATTGATTGAGAAGATTTGAGGTTTCACGATAGATGTAATATTACTGATCTAAAAAAAAACAATTTGCTAGAAAAATGTAGTTGTATAAAGTTAGACCTATCTGAACTGGTGTTATTAGTGTTAAACAAGCTGTGGAGAACATCTGTCTGATAATGTGTGTGGTAATGATATCAGCAGAAGCATATTTGTCAGGAAAGGGTATCGTCCTTCATTTAATACATCGCAGGCAATGGTTGGTTCATGATATAAAAAGTATCTTTGCGAAATACAAGAAATGCGTTTTGAGTAAACAAAGACATCTTTGTGAAATGAAAGGTCTGACTGATGTTTAACAGTGATATCTTTTACACAAAATTTTACCTTTGGTCTGTCCTGACTTGTTAAGTTAACCATGCTTTGTTTCTTTAACGATGTACTGTGTTTATCTCTACCACAGACCGCTGCTGTGCTAACGAATGATATTAACTGGATGCAATTGCTCCGTCTGACGTTTCGAGCAGAATTACTTCAATACTGCTCATTTCTATGTAGAGGAATCATGGATCGTCAGTTACTGGTGCCTTTAGAAGCGACATTTATTTATCTACACCATGTCATATTTTTGTTACATTTCATGCATTCATTTACACATTTGATATAAATCTGCATCATGACTTATCTATTTACACTTTCGTCTTAATAAGGAGGTATGTTCTCTTAACAAGACGTCCATTATCTAAAAAATCTTATATAGTGGTTATATGAATAACTGTTACATTGTAATACACTTGAGCACGTGTCTAGTTTGTATAGCTGTAACATTGCTTTGAATATGTATATTTGTGTATCGTAGCTATAAGTATGAATGATTTTAAGTATTGTAGTAGGTCAGGATGTAGACTTATAGAATAAGTATTTAGGTACAGTTACAAAGTAGAGTATGTGCATTCCAATGGCATCGTAGGTTATGCGTTATGTATTTGGTTCCAGTGGTATCGTAGAGTATATATCAAGTTTCTGTGGTATCGTAGAGTAGGTGTTGAGTTTCAGGGGTATCTTAGAGTATGTGTTAAGATACAGTGGTATCGTAGAGTTTGTGTTAAGATACAGTGATATCGTAGAGTAGGTGTTAAGTTTCAGTGGTATCGTAAAATATGTGTTTAATTCCAGTTGTATCGTAGAGTATGTGTTGAGTTTCAGTGGTATCGTAGAGTATGTGTTGAGTTTCGGGGGTATCTAAGAGTATGTGTTGAGATACAGTGGTATCGTAGAGTATGAGTTGAGTTTCAGTGGTAGCGTAGAGTATGTGTTCACATACAGTGGTATCGTAGCGTATGTGTTAAGATACAGTTGTATCGTAGAGTATGTGTCAAGATACAGTGGTATCGGAGAGTATGTGTTGAGATACAGTGGCATCGTAGACTACGTGTTAAATTCCAGTTGTATTGTAGAGTATGTGCGGAGTATCAGTGGTATCGTAGAGGATGTGTTGATATACAGTGGTATCGTAGCGGATGTGTTAAGATACAGTTGTATCGTAGAGTATGTGCTAAGATACAGTGGTATCATAGAGTATGTGCGGAGTTACAGTGGTATCGCAGAGTATGTGTTGAGTTTTAGTTATATCGTAGAGTATGTGCTGAGTTTCAATGGTATCGTAGAGTATGCGCGGAGTTTCAGTGTTATCGTAGAGTATGAGTAAAGATTTAGAGGTATCGTAGAGAATGTGTTAAGATTTAGTGGTATCGTAGAGAATGGGTTAAGATTTAGAGGTATCGTAGAGAATGTGTTAAGATACAGTGGGATCGTAGACTACGTGTTTAATTCCAGTTGGATCCTAGAGTATGTGCTGATTTTCAGTTGTATCGTAGAGTATGGGTTGAGTTTCAGTTATAACGTAGAGTATGTGTTAGGATACAGTGGTATCGTAGCGTATGTGTTAAGATACAGTTGTATCGTAGACTACGTGTTAAATTCCAGTTGTATTGTAGAGTATGTGCGGAGGTATCGTAGAGTATGTGCTAAGATACAGTGGTATCATAGAGTATGTGCGGAGTTTCAATGGTATCGTAGAGTATGCGCGGAGTTTCAGTGATATCGTAGAGTATGTGTGGAGTTTCAATGGTATCGTAGAGTACGTGCGTAGTTTCAGTGGTATCGTTGAGTATGTGCGGAGTGTCAGTGGTATCGTAGAGGATGTGTTGATATACAGTGGTATCGTAGCGGATGTGTTAAGATACAGTTGTATCGTAGGAGATACAGTGGTATCGAAGAGTATGTGAGTTTCAGTGGGATCGTAGAGTATGTGTTCAGATACAGAGGTATCGTAGAGTATGTGATGAGATAAGGTGGTATCGTAGAGTATGCGCGGAGTTTCATTGGTATCGTAGAGTATGAGAAAAGATTTAGTACTATCGTAGCGAATGTGAGTTTCAGTGGCATCGTAGAGTATGTGTTGAGTTTCAGTTGTATCGTAGAGTATGTGTCGAGTTTCAGTGGTATCGGAGAGTATGTGCGGAGTTTCATTGGTATCGTAGAGTATGCGCGGAGTTTCATTGGTATCGTAGAGTATGCGCGGAGTTCCAGTGGTATCGTAGAGTATTATGTGTTAAGATACAGTTGTATCGTAGAGTATGGGTTGAGTTTCAGTTATAACGTAGAGTATGTGTTAGGATACAGTGGTATCGTAGTCTACGTGTTAAATTCCAGTTGTATTGTAGAGTATGTGTTGAGGTTGGGTGGTATCGTAGAGTATGCGCGGAGTTTCAGTGATATCGTAGAGTATGTGTGGAGTTTCAGTGGTCTCGTAGAGTATGTGTTGAGGTTGGGTGGTATCGTAGAGTATGCGCGGAGTTTCATTGGTATCGTAGAGTATGCGCGGAGTTTCAGTGATATCGTAGAGTATGTGTGGAGTTTCAATGGTATCGTAGAGTACGTGCGGAGTTTCAGTGGTTTCGTAGAGTATGCTCGGAGTTTCAGTGGTATGGTAGAGTATGTGCTGAGTTTCAATGGTATCGTAGAGTATGCGCGGAGTTTCAGTGATATCGTAGAGTATGTGTGGAGTTTCAATGGTATCGTAGAGTACGTGTTGAGATACAGTGGCATCGTAGACTACGTGTTTAATTCCAGTTGTATCCTAGAGTATGTGTTGATTGTCAGTTGTATCGTAGAGTATGTGCAGAGTTTCAGTGGTATCGTTGAGTATGTGTTGAGATACAGTGGCATCGTAGACTACGTGTTAAATTCCAGTTGTATTGTAGAGTATGTGCGGAGTTTCAATGGTATCGTAGAGTATGAGAAAAGATTTAGTACTATCGTAGAGAATGTGAGATTCAGTGGTATCGTAGAGGCTGTGTTGAGATAAGGTGGGATCGTAGAGTATGTGTTAAGGTATGTGTTGAGTTTCAGCTATATCGTAGAGTATGTGCTGAGTTTCAATGGTATCGTAGAGTACGTGTTGAGATACAGTGGCATCGTAGACTACGTGTTTAATTCCAGTTGGATCCTAGAGTATGTGCTGATTTTCAGTTGTAACGTAGA